TTTGTTCATTAGATTCCACATATAAGTGAAATCATATGGTTCTTGTCTTTCTCTGACTGGCTTATTTCGCTTAGCATAATAATCCCCAGGTCTATCCGTACTGTCACAAAAGCTAAGAGTTCCTTCTTTTTTATGGCCACATAGTATTCCATTATGTAAATGTGCCACAGCTTTCTAATCCACTCATCTACTGATGGATACTTGGGTTCTTTACAGATTTTGACTATTGTAAATAATTCTGCTATGAATGTTGGGGTGCATATATTCCTTTGATTCAGTGTTTCAGGGTTCTTAGGATATATTCCTAGAAGTGGGATCACTGAGACAAAAGACCATTTCATTTTAAATTTTTTGAGGAAACTCCATACCATTTTCCACAATGGCTACACCAGTGCACAAGGGTTCCTTTTTCTCCCCGCCCCAGCACATGTCATTTGTTGACTTGTTGGTGGCAGCCATTCTTACAGGTGTGAAGTGCTATCTTATTGTGGTTTTAATTTGCATCTCTCTGATGATTAGTGACACTGAGCATCTTTTCATATGTCTGTTGGCCATTTGTATGTCCTCTTTGGAGAAGTGTCTATTCCAGTCCTTTGCCCATTTTTTAATTGGATTGTCTTCCTCTTGTTAAGTTGTATAAGTTCCTTATATATTTTGGATATTAACCCCTTATCAGGTATGTCATTGACAAATATGTTCTCTCATTCAGTCTGTTCCCTTTTCACCTTGTTGATGGTTTCTTTTGCTGTGCAGAAGCTTTTTAGTCTGATGTAGTCCCATTTGTTTATTTTTTCCTTTGTTTCCCTTTCCTATGAGATATTGCTATGAGAGATGTCTGAGATTTTGCTGCCTATGCTTACTTCTATGATTTTTATGGTTTTGTGACTTACATTTAAGTCTCTTATCCATTTTGAGTTTATTCTTGTGTATGGTGTAAATCGGTGGTCTAGCTTCATTTTCTTTCCATGTACCTGTCCAATTTTCCCAGCACCATTTATTGGAGAGACTTTCTTTACTCCACTGTATGTTCTTGTCTCCTTTGTCAAGTATTAATTGACCATACAGGCATCAGTTGATTTCTGGGCTCTCTGTTCTGTTCCATTGATCCATGTGCCTGTTCTTATGCCAGTACCAGGCTGTTTTGATTACAATGGTCTTGTATAGTTTGATACCAGGTAGTGTGATCTCTCCAACTTTGTTGTTCTTTCTCAAGATTGCTGAGACTATTAAGGATCTTTTTGAACAAGTTTCTAGGTGAGGTTAATGTCCCACTCATTGTAAAACATTCAGCATTGTTCACTAAACCAACTAAATATAAGCCACATCTCCTATTACATGGCACATAAAAAGATGCCACAGATCTCCCAAATGCCTGCTAAGGGGTATGCCATTTCTAATGAGAGCCAATGGTTTAAACCGTTCAATTTTCAATTTCTGGGATTGGGGAGAAATCACAGAACATGCAAGTGCTCAAAACCTGAACAGAATCGACAAGGAGGAGAGGGGATGACTACAAGATAGACATTCATGCATATGTGCCTCAGGGTTAGGAAATATTCTGTAAGATTCCTTCTAGCTATAGAATCCTTACTACTTAATATCATAAAGTACAACATATGGTCATTTCTGAGTAAACAATAATCCGGGATAATGGATAAGCTACATAATATATATTCATAAATCATGATTTAAAATTTCAAGGAGATCTCTCAATTGGTAAATTTAATTCACAGAAGAATTCTCTTAAAGATAAACAAAAGATACAACAATTGAGATATTTAATATCTAAGCTTACAAAGAATAAAAAGTTGTCATATAGCATTTTATTTTATTTTTTTAATTTATCTTTATTGCTGAGAGTATTACAGGTGTCCTATTTTTCCCCCCAATTGACCCCCTCCACTTCGCTCCCACCTCCTCCCCAGGCCTTCACCCCGTTATTGACTGTGTCCATGGGTTATGCATATATGCATATCACTTCTTTGGTTAATCTCTTCCCACCCTCCATCCGTCTTCCCTCTTTCCTCTGAAATATGATCATCTGTTGCAAGTGTCAGTGTCTCTGGATCTATTTAGTTTGTCAGATTCTTTTGTTCATTAGCTGCTTCTTAAAGAAGACCCTTCAACTTTTCCCGTAGTGCTGGTCTGGTGGTGATGAACTCCTTTAGCTTTTTCTTATCTGTGAAGCTCTTTATCTGACCTTCAATTCTAAATGACAGCTTTGCTGGGTAGAGCAATCTTGGTTGTAGTTCTCTGTTTTTCAACACTTTGAATATTTCTTGCCACTCCCTTCTGGCCTACAAGGTTTCTGTTGAGAAATCAGCTGACAGTCATATGGGTGCTCCCTTGTAGGTAACTAATTGCTTTTCTCTTGCTGCTTTTAAGATTCTCTCTTTTCTTTAACCTTTGGCATTTTAATTATGATGTGTCTTGCTGTGGGCCTCTTTGGGTTCCTCTTGTTTGGGACCCTCTGTGCATCCTGGACTTGTAAGTCTATTTCTTTCCCCAGGTAGGGGAAGTTTTCTGTAATTATTTTTTCAAGTAGGTTTTCAATTTCTTGGTGTCTTTCTTCCCCTTCTGGCATCCCAATAATACGAATGTTGGGCCTCTTGAAGTTGTCCCAGAGGCTCCTTATGTTATTTTCATATTTCTGGATTCTTTTTTCTTTTTGCTCTTCTGGTTGGGTGTTTTTTGTTTCCTCATGTTCCAAATTGCTGATTTGATTCTCAGCGTCCTCTACTCTACTGTTGACTCCCTGTAAATTATTCTTCATTTCAGTTTCTGTAGCCTTCATTTCAAATTGGTACTTTATTATGTTATCGATTTTCTCAGTTATTTCCCTAATAGACTGCTTAAACATCCTTATAAACAAAATTTTGAACTCCCTATCTGTCAGCTTGCTTGGATCTATTTCATTTAGTTCCTCTTCTAGAGATTTCTTCTGTTCTTTCCTTTGTGACATGTTTCTTTGCCTCCACATTTTGGCTGCTTCCAGGTGTTTGTTTCTATGTATTAGGTAGAGCTGCTCTGTCTCCTGGAATTTGTAGAGTGGCTTTGTGTAGTAGGTGTGCTATAGGGTCCAGTGGCTCAGCCTCCCAGTCACCTGAGCTGGGCCTTCTAGGTGCTCCCCTGTGTGGGCTGTGTGTACTGTCTTCTTGTAGTTGAGCCTTGGTTGCTGTTGGCATCACTGGAAGGAATTCACCCCCCGGCCAATCAGCTGTGAGTACCAGCTGCAACTACAGCCAAAGAGCTACTGTGCTGGAGACACCCCTATGGATCAGGATTTACTTCAATGGGGCTTTGGTGTTCACCAAGTGCGCCCCTTGAGTGTCACTTGTGGATGTGGTAGGGTTGTAATCTAGCGTGGTCGAGTCTGACCACCAGGTGCACTGTTTCTGGGGCCTCTCGGGAGATGCAAAGTCAGCCTCTGCCAGTGCCCTGCCCAGGGCCACCCAGCATGAGCTACACAGCAAACCGTAGTTGGCTGCTACTTGTGCTGGGCTTGGAGGTGTGTGTGGGGGGGCAAGTGATGAGCCAATGCAGGCTGCCGCTAGTGCCAGGCCTGGGCCGCTTATCAAGCCGTGTGGGGCCTGCTGCTGCTTGTTTGAGAGATTTTAGGAAAGTCCTAAGCATGAGGCTCGAGAGGCCACTTGCACAGAAAAGCCCCTGGAAATGGCCTGGATGAGCTGCAGGTGGGGAGGGGCGGGGCCTCCGGGAATCACGGGGCGGGGCCAAAGGTGGGAGTCAGGTGCTGGCGATTCAAACATGGCGCCTGCCTGCCGGCTGTGTGCGGGGAGGACTCGCCAGAGGAGCCATGGCCTCTGCAGCCCTTCTGCCTGGGAGGAAGCCACCCCTCCACCTCTCACCCAGATTTCAGGCAGGTTAGTTCCTCCCCGAGTGCCCAGGTCCTTTCAGGCTGCTGCCTGGGGCTGGGCTCAGAGGGAGCGTCCGAGTGAGTCCGTGCCGGGCCCTTTAGAGGAGCTGCTGGGGCTCCTGCAGCCTCCGGGACCCTCAGGGACAGTCCCCGCTGGTTTCACAGCCCCGAGTTGTGGGGACGTCTCTCCCCGGCCCTGGAGCCCTGGGATGGGGCCCTGCTGTGGGGCTGGGACCCCTCCCTCCTCCAGGAAACCGCCGCCACTGAGATGTCTCCCCAGGTTTAACCTGCCGCACCGGGTGTGGGCCTGCGGCCGTCTCTCAATCCCCCACGTCTGTGCCCCTCCTCCCGGTCTCGATGCTCCTTCAGCTCCCTGGTTGTGGGGCTTCTGTTCAGCCAGATCTCAGGAGGCTCTGAGCGATGGTGGTTCTGGATTTTAGTTGTGATTTTGATGTGGTTGCGGGAGGCGGCGGTGCAGCTGTTCCCTACTCCGCCAGCTTGTTTCCTCTCTCCGTCACATAGCATTTTAAAATCATGTTAATTTGGACTAAAATTGTTGAGCATTTAACAGGAGCAGGATAATAGCATTTTTTGGTATTATTGAGAATGAATGGCATCAATACTATTTAATCCAAACTTACCTAATTAAAAACTAAAGCGGCACATTATTTTGTGCCTCAGTTCTCTCTGAGAAAGGGATGTAGATACCACCTTTTACCCTTCCTCTCGTGGCTGTTATAATGGAAGAGCAGGCCTCGCCTCTGAAGTATCTAGCAGAGTCTCTGGGACCAGTATATGTTCAGTAGGTGTTTGCTCCATAAATAATTAAATGGTTTAATAAAGCATTTCAGAAAAAAGGTAGTGCAGATCTAATCTGATATTATTTTATTATATATACTTTTAACATTGAAAATAATTTTTTTGCCATTTTTTCGTAGCTCTTTTACTCCAGGTAATCTTACATGAATGAATACATCATTTTCCTATGTCAAATACAGGTTTATAAAATGACGATAGATGAATAAGTATTAGTAATCATTAAAATAACAGGTTTCCCTGTGTCTTCATTATCATTCTGGTCATTCACTTGTCTCATGTGTTGGTTGTGTGTGTTTTTCCCCCACAGGGATTCGATAAACAAGTGGATGTGTCATATATTGCCAAACATTACAACATGAGCAAAAGCAAAGTTGACAACCAGTTCTACAGTGTGGAAGTGGGAGACTCAACCTTCACAGTTCTCAAGCGCTACCAGAATCTAAAGCCTATTGGCTCTGGGGCTCAGGGAATAGTTTGGTAAGTGGAATGAATTTAACAGATATATATTTTTTATTCCTCACCAAGGACATGTTCTTATTGATTTTAGAGAGAGAGGAAGGGAGAGGGAGAAAGAAAGAAACATCGATGTGAGAGAGAAACATTGATTGGTTGCCTCCCATACATACCATGATAGGGGATCTAACCCACAACCTGGACATGTGCCCTGACCAGGAATCGAACCTGTGACCTTTTGGTGTATACGGGAGGACACTCCAACCAACTGAGCCACACCAGCCAGGGCTTAACTTATATTTTTAAAGGAAACACAGTACGTACACACACAAACAAAAAAACAAATAAATTGCATGACTGGGAGGAAAAAAATACATGCTACTGAAGAAAAATAAAACTATGAGCATTATTTGTAATTCGTTCCCCATTTGCTAACAATATCTATAACTTTATTGTGACTACTTTCTGTGATTTCAAAAAATATTCATTACACAACAGCCATAAAATAAACAATACTCAGAGAACCAGAGGTTTTACTGTTATTAGTACACTCAGAAAATTTTATTTGAATGTTTTCATAACAAGAAATGAGGGGATATGTGTTAAGATAACTAGCAAATAAAACTTCCTAAATTCTAAAGAAGTGATATTGCAAATGTTCCTATGATTTTTAAAGTTCAGTGTTTAAAGTTCAGTTATCTATTTAAAAAGTGATATTTTAAAAATATTTGCTGAATGTTTCCAAAATGGAAAGATTCTGTGATCTTTGGTAACCATTCTTTTATGGCATTTTTCAGTGGGCAATTGAAATGATGACAAATCAAGATCTAATCTCCCTGTTATCAGATTGATAAGCATTTCTTTTAGATAGTTCTAACTAGTGTAGCAATTACATATATTTAGTATGAACTTATTAGTCTAATAATTTTCAATCTGATGGCTTGCACTTATAAGTACAAATTTAGGGCATGCATTGTAAATACATATACTTACATTTATAAAAGATATTTACTTACGCCAGTATTTTTATTTGTTGTATAAATTACTGCTATAGTAGTACTGTTCATTTAAAAACATACACACTTTTCCGGGATGAGAAGACTTTATTTTTTGAGCAGTTTTAGGTTCACAACAAGTGGAGAGGAAGATACAGAGAATTTGCGTGCATGGATTCCTGCATTATCAACATCCCCACCAAAGTGGTACATTTATTACAATTGATAAACCTACACTGACACATCATAATCACCAAAGCCCATAGTTTACATTAGGATTCACTCTTGGTGTTGTATATTCTATGGGTTTGAACAAGTATAAAATGACATTTGTTCATTATTACGGTATTATACAGAGTATTTCCACTGTCCTAAAAATTCCCCCTGTTCCTCCACTCCTTCCAGCCTCTGGCAACCATTGGTCTTTTTATTGTTTCCAAGTTTTACCTTTTCTAGAATGTGTTTGTGGTGGAATCAAACAGTATACAGCCTTTTCATATTGGCTTCTTTCACTTAGTAATATACACTTAAAGTTCCTCCATGTCGTTTCATGACCTGATAGCTTATTTCTTTTTAGAATTGCCTAATATTCCATTGTCTGGGTGTACCACAGTTTACTTACTCATTCACCTGCTTTAGGACTTCTTGGTTGCTTCCAAGTTGTTGGCAATTATGAATAACGGCCCTTTAAACATCCATGTAGACATAAGTTTGTGTGGACATAAGTTTTAGTTTAACTTCATTTTGACAACTGGTTTTAAGTTTACTCTGAATGCTTAGTTGATGCAAATGGCAGAAGTGCAGGGTTGGTGCACTTACTCAGCCCTTTACTCCATTTAAACCTCACTTATCAAACATGCCAAATCTTTTTTGGAAACTTACCTAGTAAATTTCAATCTTTTCTAATGTCAATCAGTATTTGTTCTTGCAGTTTGGAAGTTGGAATATTTTAATATTTTTAACAATGGGCCAAATCTTCCCTTTTGAAAATAAAAGACTTTCAAAATGAAATAGAAAATAAAACAAAACCAAAAATTGCTATAAAAGAGGAGAGACAGGAGAGGAAAATACAGAGTGGTTACTGGCTGCCTTTTTCAATGGAAAATTGTAGAACAACAAAAAGTTTTCATAAGGTTCTCAGTTAAAATGCTCAAATACTTACTGGGATTGTTTCATTTTCCTTTAATTAAAACTCCCACCAAAAAATGAGGACTGCCAGTGAAAGGAAACTGATAGCTCTTAATGATTCAAAAATAGATCTAAAGCAGAATTTTGCTCAAAAAGTTAACAGATTGTCCCAGAAAGATTTGAAACTCTATCATTAAAAATTTTATAGTATGTTTTATAGGACATTTGGGACCTCTGTGTATCCTTGTACAGAATGGGAATCATCCTAGGTCTTGGGCATAGTAACAGAAAATATATTTTAATAATTAAATGTCCTTGAGTAAAAATTTTAATCCCACTTTAAAACAAATTTATCAACACATTTTTGACAAATTTTAAAGGGACACCTGCATTTCAAAATGTTAGCTTTAGAGTTTTCAGAAATTATTACTAGTCTTTTTGTGTATAGCTGAGGGAAATGAAGCTAGGAAAGGCGGAGATGAAGGGGATGGAGATTTCTGTCCCTTGTCTTTAACTCTCCGCTCTCCGGGGACAGACACCGCAGTTCCAGTGCTCCTTTCTCCTTCTTGTCCCTCCGCCTCAGTCGGGCCTTGAGCTGTTTTTGTTTAGTTACCGTAACTTGGGTCTGTTATGTACTATTTCTCTTGTAGGCCTATTCTCATATTAATTTGTCTTATCTGTCAACCTGCCTTTAATTTAACTTCCTCTCTCTGCTTTTGTCAACAATGAGTTCATCTACCTTTCTCACACCAAATACACATCCATTTCCAGACATGCTCCTGAAATCCACAGACCTTTCCTCTCTTCACAAAAACTGTCTGGTTTGCATAATATTTTGAATGTCTCGTACAGTCCTGAGTATAGTGCCTGGAAGAAATTGGAAACTGGTAGTGTCTGGGGTTATTTAGCAAGTGCTGACATAGAAGCTGCAGGTATCTAGAAGATGTAACTAAGATAATTAATGAAGGTAGCTACACTAAAAAACATATTTTCAATGTAGACAAAACAGCCTTCTGTTGGAAGATGTAATATATATACACATACTAATCCAATGGATATTGAATATATGTGCTTAATTGAATATATATGCTATATAACATACATTTTTATGTATGTAGGATATGTATTGTCTTGTTTTTCACAAAAATTTGAAAAATTATTTTTTGTGAATGTCCTTTAATTAGTAATCTATACCAGCTATTTTCAACCAGTGAGCCACAATAATTTTTCAAACATGCAATACCTGACCATTTAGTCAGGGGCACTGATCCTTTCCCCTTAGACTGTGAAGTAAAAAAAAAACAACAGCTAATATAGTGGTAGCCATCTGGTGTGAATGTATCAAAATTATACTTTTTTTTGGTCATATTGGCAAAAAATATATTTTTGGTGTGCCACAGAAACTTAGTAATTAGTTTATGTGTGCCATGAGATGGAAAAGGTTGCAAATTGCTGGTCTATAGCAACAAGATCCTATGCAGATAATCTAAGATTTAAATTGCCAAGCAGGTTCAGCCAAATCTTGGGTGTTCACATATTCTTATTGCATCTTCCTTTGATAAGTGGAAATGGTGGGTATAGTGAGCCTGTCTAGTAATGTCCTCCTAGCCCGGTGAAGTTAAGATTTAGATAGACTGAAAGGAAGTCTAGAATTTTTGGCGTGTGTGTGTGTGTGTGTGTGTGTGTG